CCATCCATCCATCCATCCACCCACCCATCCACCCATCCATCCATCCACCCATCCATCCACTTGTTCGGGTGAAGCATCTTGAGCAGGAAGATCCAGACATGTCTCTCCACAACCACCTCTTCCAGTTCTTCTAGGAGGACTCTAAGGAGTTCCCATTCCCAAAAAGCTCTACAGTGACTGGTCTGAATGACTATCGGCCAGTGGCCCTCACCCCGATAGTCGCTAAATGCTTCGAAAAACTGGTCATGACTCACATCAAAACAACCATCAACATCAACGAGGACCCTCATCAGTACGCATACCGTAAGAACCGATCAACAGAGGATGCAATCTCCTCTGTGGTCCACACTGCGCTCAACCACCTGGAGCAGAAAAACTCTTACGTCCGTATGCTCTTTGTGGACTTCACATCTGCCTTCAACACCATGATCCCCCAAACCCTGATGGACAAACTATCCACACTAGGACTAAGCCCCTCCATCTGCAACTGGGTACTAGACTTTTTAACAAACAGACCACAGTTAGTGAGGATCCACAACCTCTCCTCCTCCACCATAACCCTCAGCACTGGCTCTCCTCAGGGATGTGTGTTGAGCCCCCTTCTGTTTACTCTGCTCACATATGATTGTGCAGCTACCCATCCAGGCTGTCACATTGTAAAGTTTGCAGATGATACAGCAGTGGTGGGATGCATCACAAACAATGATGAGTCCAGCTACAGGCAAGAGGTGGAACACCTGGAGAGCTGGTGCAGAGAGAATAACCTTCACATCAATGTGAAGAAGACAAAGGAGATGATTGTGGACTTCAGAAGGAACAAAAACACCTACACCCCCCTGAACATAAGAGGATCTGCGGTGGAAGTGGTCTCCAGCTACAAGTACTTGGGTGTACACATGAACAACAACCTCAGCTGGAGCAACAACACCACCAGCCTGATCAAGAAAGCTCATCAGATACTCTACTTCCTCAGACGGCTGAGGCGAGCTGGTCTGGGAAGCTCAGTCCTCACCTCCTTCTACAGGTGTGCAGTGGAGAGCATCCTGTGCTCGAGCATCAATGTGTGGCATGGAGGCTGCACAGCTGCAGAAAGAAAAGCTTTGCAGAGAGTGGTGAAGGCTGCACAGAAATCTGTTGGAGTCAGCCTCCCCACCATCACAGACATCTACACCTCCAGATGCAGGAAGAGGGCCACCTGCATCATGAAGGACCCCACCCAGCACACACACTTTTTGCCCCCCTCCCCTCAGGAAGGAGGTTAAGGAGCATTAAGTGTAGAACCACTAGACTGAGGAACAGCTTCTATCCTGAGGCTGTTAGACTCATGAATATCTAACCAGAATAATCACTGTGAAAAACCATATCATGTTGCTGCTGATCTGTTTCATGTTGCTGCTGATCTGTTTCAATGTTGATGTGTTCATGCGTGCACATCTGCTCACAGACTCATGTTCATGTTTGTGCTGATGTTCAATGTTTTATGTTATGAGTGCTTAGTGTATATTTAGTTGATGTTTTTCTTAGTTCATATCTTAGATGTTATTACTGTTTTTCTTAGACATTTTATTGTTGGATGTAACTGGGACCCTGTGTACATAATTTCGCTCCACCACATGTACCACATGAGGTGCGAATGACAATAAAGAAACTCTGACTCATGCTCAATAATCCAGGTAGAAAAATCTAAAAAAGTTAAATCTGGTCCTCTGGACATTCAAAAAACAAAACAAAGCAAAACAACAAAAAAATGTAGAAACGTGAGAGACGTAGTCTGTCCAGCGTGTCCTGGGTCCTCCCCAGGGTCTACTCCCAGTTGAATATGCCCAAAGCACCTCCCTAGAGAGGTGTACAGGGAGCATCCTTACCAGATGCCTGAACCACCTCAACTGGTTCCTCTCGATGTGGAGGAGCAGTGTTTCTACTCAGAGTCTCTTCTGATAACTGAACTTCTCACCCTAAGGGAGAGTCCAGCTACCCTGCGGAGGAAACTCACGTCAACCGTCTGTATCCATGATCTCATTCTTTCAGTCACTACCCAGAGTTCATGACCAGAGGTGAGGGCAGGAACGTAGACTGACCAGTAAACAGAGAGCTTTGCCTTACAGCTCAGCTCCTTCTTCACCACCATGGACCGGCAAAGAGTCCACAATACTGCAAATGCTGCACCAATCCATCTGTCAGTCTCACGCTCCATTCTTCCCTCACTCGTGAACAAAACCCTGAGATACTTGAACTCCTCCACTTGAGGTAGAACCTCACCCTCGACCTGTAGAGAACAATCCACCCTTTTCTGTTTGAAGACCATGGCCTCAGATTTGGAGGTGCTGGTTCTGATCCCAGCCGCTTCACACTCGGCTGCGAACCGCTCCAGTGAGAGCTGAATTGTTAAGGTAGACAACAATAATCTGTCATCACAGCTGGTTTCAGATTTTATACCTGAAATTTGTTTTGGCCTTCCTCAACTGCAGCTCCTATGGCTGGTGGAGTGAAGAGCTCATGGCGATGCGTACGCTACAAAGAAATACGCTCACGTAAACTCAACAAGCAAACGACACATAAGAGAAATATCAGTGAACAGACGAGGCTGATGACCAGACGATACAAACCTGTTGTAAGACTGTGTAGCGTTCCCTGAAGAGTTCAGCTTTGTCTTTGGCTAAAGCACACAGACTAGGGGCGGCATGGCTGGTCATACTGATCCTGCACAAACACACGATTACAGGTTTGCTTCAGAAGAACAGCAGCAACAAGTGCACCGAGGGAACGGTCTATTTGAAATGAACCGTAGCCTTTGAGGCCACGATGGTCAGTTTACTCACGGGGCAAATTTCTTCCTCTCCACGTTGTAAATGTACCTGGGCACGTCAAACGCTCCAATGATGTTAAAGATGTTATCTCTGGAAGAGAAATCATCAGTTTAAATAAAAGCATCACATTGTACAGGAAAAGTGTTTAATTCACCCAAATATTACATGTGTTCATCGACAGAAACTACTTCTGTGCAGCTGCACTTACATGGTGTCTTCACAGGACTGAGTGCAGTCCTGCACAGCACTCTCCACCACAGGCAGCTCGATCATAGAGGAAGACACTGCAGTGAAAACACACCATGTCTATAACCTGAAAACTCTCTGGTGAACACACGAACAGTCGAATTAAACTGCAGAACATGAACTTACATGGCTGCTTTTCCACTGCATCCAGGACCTTTTCAATAATATCGTCGAGTTCAGAGCCATCGACTGACTCCAGCACTTCCACAAGGTACTTACTGGCTTCACTATGGCACACACACAAAACAACGGCTTACATGGGAAAAATATAGAAGGCGAGCCTGTGATCAGAAGGCTGCTAGTTCAAATCCCCCAACCTACAGTATCAAATGTGTGTGAGAAAGGTAAAACACCCACACCTGCCTTCTCCTCCCTCATTTGTCCCACTCTGGACCAGTGAGCAAGGCGCTTAATAAATAAATTATACACACACACAAATATTGGGTTTCTGCTGCTGCCTGAGACTATATATATATATATATATATATATATATATATATATATATATATATATTAGATTATAGATTCATATATAGATATTCAGATATATAGATTCAGATTAGTCTTGTAGAGATCTAGTAGAGAGCTGTATGAATGTGTGTGTGGAGGTAAATGAGGACACAGATTGTTGTAAAGAGCTTTGAGCATCTTGGTTAGATAGAAAAGTGTCATGGAAGTACAGTCAATCAGTCCATTATTCCTAGTACAGTACAGTATATACGGTATATACTATAAGGTGAATCAGTTTTACATAAACAAAAGTAAATCTGAAAAGTAGATTAGAGAAAACACGACGTGGCATCAAAAGACTGTGAAAGCTCAAAAAGCCTCATCATTCCGTGCTGTTATTGTTTGTTTTGTGCAAAAATATAGTGAAACAAATTGACAGAAGACTGATGGAACAGAAAAGCTTAGCGTGTTGTTGCTAGAGAGCTTCGTAATGACGACCGATTGTTCATCAACACTAAAACAATAAATAATATTTACAATAAACTGTGTTAAATAAAAGATAAAAATCACATACGGACGAAGTATGAGCCCCCTCATTTTAAAACCAGAAGTAACCTTTGTCTTTATTTTGCGAACATCCATGACTTGTTTCTTTTCCAGCTCAAGCTTTGGCGCTAAATGTCAACTTCCGCATGTTTTTCATCACTTCCGCTGAGGCATTTCTAACAAAATAAAAGCTCTAATTTTAAAACAAAACCGTATGCTTTAACTTTTATGTCCTTTTATTAACTACAACATTAATGACAACACATTATTAAAATTTACTCGTATCAGCATTTATATACAGATTTTATTTTGCTTAATTTTGCACAAAGGTGCATATACTATTTTTTTTTCTTCAATTCAATAATTAAATTCAACCTTTATTTGTACAGGTTAGTTTCATTGAGCCTCGAGGATTTACAAGAGAGACCTATTTTAAACAAAGGACACAGACGACAACAGTATATATATATATATATATATATATATCAGAGCATCTTCAAAGATCGGAAGAAGCTCTG